CGTGTACCGGCCCTTTCGCCTTTCTTGCCGGGTATGCGTTCCTTGCCTTTATTGGCTGGGATCCAGAGCCGGCGCTGTTACTTTGAAAAAATTAGAGTGTTCAAAGCAGGCCTGTGCTCTGAACATATTAGCATGGAATAACGCGATAGGACTCTGGTCCTATTTCGTTGGTCTTCGGGATTGGAGTAATGACTAATACAGACGGTTCGGGGCATTCGTATTCCATTGTCAGAGGTGAAATTCTTGGATTTATGGATGACGAACTTCTGCGAAAGCATTTGCTAAGGACGTTCTCATTAATCAAGAACGAAAGTTGGGGGATCGAAGACGATCAGAYACCGTCCTAGTCTCAACCATAAACGATGCCGACTAGGGATTGGCGGATGTCTATTGGATGACTTCGCCAGCAACTTGTGAGAAATCAAAGTTTACAGATTCCGGGGGGAGTGTGGTCGCAAGGCTGAAACTTAAAGGAATTGATGGAAGGGCACCACCAGGCGTGGAGCCTGCGGCTTAATTTGACTCAACACGGGGAAACTCACCAGGTCCAGACATAGCAAGGATTGACAGATTGAGAGCTCTTTCTTGATTCTATCAGTTGTGGTGCACGGCCGTTCTTAGATGGTGGAGTGATTTGTCTGGTTAATTCCGTTAACGAACGAGACCTCAGCCTGCTAAATAGCTACGCGGGGACCTTTCCTCGTGGCCAGCTTCTTAGAGGGACTGTTGGACGACTAGCCAAGGGAAGTTTGAGGCGATAACAGGTCTGTGATAACCTTAGATGTTTTGGGCCGCACGCGCGCTACACAGATGAATCCAACGAGTCGCTTGCCTAAGTCGAAAGGACCGGGTAACCTTCTGAAGGTTCATCGTGACGGGGATAGATTGTTGTAATTATCGATCTTGAACGAGGAATGCCTAGTMAGCGCGAGTCATCAGCTCGCGCTGATTATATCCCTGACTTTGTACACACCGCCCGAAGCTCCTACCGATTGAATAGTCCGATGAAGTGTCTGGATTGCGGTGATCTCGGCGGTTTGCCGCTAGGGGTGCTGTGAGAAGTTCATTGAACCTTATTATTTAGAGGAAGGAGAAGTCGTAACAAGGTTTTCGTAGGTGAACCTGCGGAAGGATCATTGACACGTGAATGGCCGGTCTTCGGGGTGTGGGTTGCTGGCTTGCTCGCCCTTCCCCCGCGCTTTGCCCCCATCCTCCCTGCATCCACTTTTCTCTTCCGTTTCAGCACCATCTTGGGCTTAGTGCCCAGCTGGCAGTTGGCCCGGCGCAGAGGGGCGCGTGGTGTAGGTTGAGGGTGGGGGGAGTGGGCAAGGTTCGGGGCCTTGTGGCGTTGCTCCCCTTTCATCCCGTCTCGCCTCCGCAGGTACCTTGGCCCAGCCCCACTCTCGACTTCTGGTCGGGATGGCGGTTGGTCCGGGCACGGACAGCCCTGTGGGAGGGTCAGGGGCGGGATGTCGGGTGGTGGCGGCTGTCCTCGGCCTGCGTACCCCCGCTCCTTCCCGTCTCAGCTTTGTCCAGACCTCCTTTCCATCCTGGCCTCGACCTTTGCTTCGTGCGGAGCTTATGGCTTGTTTGGGGATCGAGGGTCATGGTACAGGCTAGTGGGGGGGGGGTGTTGCGGGGTCCTCGGCCCCTCCCCGTTTCGTCCTGCGTTCCTTCCCAACGGGGTTCTCCTTTCCGGACAGATCG